GTAGGTCTGGGGCCCGAGGGGGCGGACGTGCGCGCGGGCCCCGGGGGTGTGGGGCTCCCGGGAAGGACCTGGGGGCTGAAGCCTCATGCGGGACGGGACCTTCTCTCGCCCCCAGATGAGCCCCCGCTACCTACAGAGCAACTCCAGCAGCCACACGCGACCCTTCGGTGCCATCGCGGAGCTGCTAGGTGAGTGGTGAGGGCGGGCCCGGCCGTGCTCACCCAAGGCCGTGGTGCCAGCGTGGTGCTGCAGTCTAGACGCGAGAGGAATGCAAGGAGCCGCTTGGGGACGGTCGGGCGGAAGCGGGGCCCTCGGGACTGGCCTCAGCTCCGCCAGCGGAGGAGGGGTGTATCTTCGAGGAACGCGGTTCCGCGAATAAAAGCGTAGGGAACAAGGTGTTTCAGAAGAGTTAGAACACCGTGCGCTTTTTTCTGTCTGGCTCATGATGTTTCGGGCACTTCAGGATAGCTTAGTTAATAATCAAAAATACATGCATAAAATATCCGACCCTGAGGCAGCTGGAATCCAATAGGTGCTGGCGACCAACAGAAAACTGGCTACCAAAGGGGTCTTGTATAAGACCGAGTAGAGTCATTAAAAAGATCTGAAAAAGAGAGTTCTTTAACTTTTGAGACAAGAACATCTAGGAATGATGGGCCATCCCTTAAGAGATGACACGAGTGCATTTGGCTCCCTGAGACTGCGGAGGACTGAGCCTGTAGTCTAAGAGCGCCCTCACACCGCTGGAATGAATATTGAGGACATAGAAACCTCTTGCTCTGCGAGTGTTTGCTTTTAAAGAGTTTTCAGTTGATCCCTTGAAGCCAAGTACACCAGTTTTTGAAGGAGTGTGCTAAATACTGTGTGGAAAGTAAAAAAGCAATCCTACGCTAAATGCAGCAGCATACAGAGCACATTATAAGTCCTTCAAAAATTGAAAGAAAGAAAGATTTATGGGACTAAGTAGTACAGAAAATCTTGGAAAAGTTTCAAAACTCCCTGAATAAGCCACAGGCCCTGCCTAAGTCATAGCTATGGCGATGCCATGAGAGTTGTTTTAGTCGAGAAGTTGGAGGGCAGCAGGAGAGTTACTTGGAAGGTGATGGAGAATTTTGATGATCAGTTTGACTATAACATCAATGTTTTACATGTATGACTCAGTTAAAAGATGCAGAAGAGAATGTGGCATTGGTACATTTTGAATTGTTTTAGATTTTGTGCCATGCCACCGGTGAACATCTGAAGAGAGGCACAGTGAGAGATGGGAGACAGAAACGTGTTGTGAGAAATAATCTTGTTCTTTCACAGTTGCACCTTGTTGTACTATGCATACTATATAGGTGATTCAGTGAGTTTTCAATTTGTAATTTTGAGTACATATGATTGTCTTAAGCATTTAGCTTTAAAGAACCTAGCTAGGCTTGGCCTAAGATGACCAACACATATATACAAACATAGATTTTTAAAAGCATAACATATATGTGTGATAACAGAGAAAAATGAAATCGATGTGTTAACTGGTAACTCAAGTTTTCATTTTCGGTTTTTCCTTCAACAGTTTTCTGTACTAAAGCATTACTTTTCTAATGAACATTCATTCATTCAGTAAGTATTTATCGAGCATCTGCAGTGCCCAAGGCTACTGTGGGAGGTACAAAAATGAATACAACACAGATTCATGCTTCTAATAGGGGAGATAAAACATGTGCAGAAAGTTCATGCTTTCTATAACAAAAGATGGAAATTATATATCCACAAAGATACATACAAGTGCTATGAAATTTAGAGGAAAGAGAAGTGACTTACAATTTTTAGGAAGTACAGGTTGAAGAAAAGCTTTGTGGAGGAGGTAATATTTGAGCTGAAATTTGAAGGATTAGTTAGGATATGTGGATGTGGTTGGGGAAGGACATTCCAGGCAAAAGGAACAACTGGATAAATGAAGACATGAAGAATACTGATCATTGAATATAATTAGAGCATAGTGTTCACAGGTAGCAAAAATTATAGGTCCTTAGAAAGTTTACAAAGAGCTTTTCACAATTATCTTTTTAACTTTACTCTTTGAAGTAAACAGTATTTTTTTTTTCATCCTGCAGATGAAGAAACAGAGGTTCAGGTAATTAATTTCCAAGGTTACATGTCTACTAAGTGACAGATCCAAGACTCAAACACAGGCGTTTTTACTCCAAGCACCAAGTAGGAAATGAGGTTAGAAAGGTGAGCTGGGACTAGGATGTGCCTGAGAGGTTCTGGTATTTGATGTGTTACTCTGATGTTTTCTGACCAGAAGAATGTCATGATCAAAACTGTGCTTTAGGGGGTTGAGGATTTAGCTCAGTGGTTCTGGCGACTGCCTTGCAAGTGTAAGGACCCGAGTTTGATCCCTGGTACCAAAAAGAAAAGAAACCTCAAAACTGTGCTTTAGGGAAGTCAATCTTGCAGCAATGTGTAAGACATATGAGAGAAAAGAGAGACATGGATTTGCAAGACTAGTTAGGAGGCTATTGCAGTAACCTTGAGATGGAATAAACTGTGAACTAAGAGAGTGACAATGGGAATTAGAAAAAACAATATGTAAGAGAATCTAAGGATATATAGGGCAGGAAGAGAAAGAAGTTTAAAAAATGATTTTTTTTGCAGTGCTAGAGATTGAACCTAGAGATTTATGCATACTGGTGAGCACTTTGCCACTGAACTACACTCTTAGTCCCCTAAAAATGACTTTTGAATTTATTAAACTTATAGTCATTTGAATGCTGACACTGTGTGTGTGTGTTTAACAGAAAAAGATACACTTGTGACAGAGGTGATGACCTTACTTTCAGCTACTTGCAAGATAGTTGCAAGTTACTGTAAGGCAGTAACTTGGCACCTTGCCGGTGTCCACTGGAAACAATAGGAGGCTTGTGAAGCACTATGTCAAAGCCATTTTAAGCTCTCCTGGCAGGCTGTCATTCAGTTTTTCATTGCCTCCCAGGTTCTGAAGTATGAGGCTTCAATTATAATGCTTTTTCAGAAGACAAGAGATTGTTGGACCAGGTTGGAGTGTAAAATAGATTCCCCAAGAATTCTATGCTCTTACCAAAGTAGTGGGTGACATGAAGGTAGAGATAGGGACCTCTCGATGAGGGATATCTCAAGTCAGGTTGGGAGAGGGAAGACACCTTGGGAATTGGTAGCAAATAGGACAGTATAGCCAGGTTAGAGGATAAAGATGCTCAGGCTATGATAGTGCCGCTCTTGCCTAAATAGTGGCTGAGGTGAGGGAAGTAAGGGTTTTCTCATCATCCTAACTGTTCATAGGCTGGGTGGGCTGGGCTAGGGGAGAACTTGAACTCCCTGGTATCAGATAGTATATGCTACATATTCACCAGTTTTTAGAGGGTTAAGAAGTAGAATGAAACCAGCTATCAAATTGGTGGTGTATTATTATAAGTTCATCTATGGAAACTGACCTTGTCATTATTATAATTTCATTTGTTGAGGCCAAATGAAAGGCCACATAGAACAGAGATAATTGGGAAGCTGTGCCTGCCCACTAATTTCACTTTCCCTGCTGCTTCAGCTGACCTTGGCCTTTTATGTATCCCCTCCCCCATTGACTCTATGAGCTTCCATCCAAGGAGATATCATATCTTCGCTGCTCTTGGCAGCTACTTTTAAACTCTTGAAATGCCTTTGTTAAAATGTTTTATATTCCTATAAGAAAATACCTAGTAGGGCTGGGGATTTAGCTCATTGGTTCCACTGCCTGCCTTGCAAGTACAAAGACCCGAGTTTGATCCCAGTACCAAAAAAATAAAAATTTTTTAAAAATTAAAAAAAGAAAATACCTAGTAAAGTTTGGGTAACACCTGCAGTAGAGAAGAAAAGAGTTAAGATGATTTTCTTAGCGACCTGTGAGTTGATTGATTCAAGGCACTGTTGTCTAAATGTGTAATTGGAATTGATGTGTGTTATATGTTTGTATTGGGAATGTTCGTAAGTGTTAGAAAAATATTTCAATTTCCATGGTTTTCCATATATAAATTATGTCAATTGGCTGACAGGTTTATCTGTTTCAATGTCTTTGGCTGTCTGCTAGCAAAAATGACTGAAAAGGGCTTGCTTGCCAAGTAAAATTTCTTGAATTATGTGGGCAGCTATATATGGTGCTGAATCCTTTCATCAGATAAAGAAAGAAAAAGCAGCCTCTTACAAAGTAAAGAACTATATTTCTGATAAAGTCAGTATTGCATGCTGCCACCTTGTAACTCTTGCCCAGAGACAACCCATTTACCTTACCTCATTATATGGGCCTAAGCCCCGCCTGCCCCTTAAAGATTATCAGACTTCTTAACCTACTTCTGGAGCTATTGGTAATATGTTACCGCTGTTAAGATTTTTCAGGTCATAATCATTGATAGTTTTATTAATCAATGATTCTAGCAATACCATTGTAGCTTTTGAAATTAATCTGTGTTTTGTTTCATTTAGTAGACATTCCACACATGCAAATGAGTGTCAACTCTTAATTGTATTGTCAAAATTTGCAATTTGAATGTGTTAATACTCTGCTTGGTTGTAAGGGATGTTCCCAGCAGAAAAATGACATGGTTTGATTAGGGGTAATTGGACAAGTATACAGGCAAGACCCTACCTGGCTCTCTCAGCCAAGGTATGTGGTATCGGTAAAATAGTATAGTGTGCCAAAACAAAGGAAGAGAATAGAAGGGAAGGTTGCTATCTTGCTTGAAAAGTTAATAGGGACAGGAGTGATTAAGGACCCTATTGGAATTAGTATGTTTTATGCTGCTGTTGCAAAATACCTGGTGTTGAGTACCTTATAAGTAAAGAAGTTTATTTAGCTCACAATTCTGGCTGCTGGAAGGTCCAGGCAGCATGACACAAGTGTCCTGTCAAGGGCCCCCTAGCTGCATCACAATATGGTAGAGAAGCTAAAAGGGAATAGGGCCATGTGCAGATAGGGCCAGTCATACAGGGTAGCCTCTCTTTATAGCAACTCACTGTAGTCAAAACTAATCCTGTCCTATCATTCCTGACACAGAATTAAAATCCTTTCCAAGAGCAGCATCCCCAATGATCTAATTACCTTGCACTAGGCCCCACCTCTTAAAGCTTCTCCAACCTCAATTCTACCACACTAGGGCAAAAGCTTCCAACACATGATTTTTGGGGAATAAACCACTTCCAAACAATAGCATCATCAACAGCTTGTACAGATTGCCCTTCTACTCAGGCCAGTGAACTCTAATCAGACTTTTGACCCACACATGTCAATGTTAAACTAATACCTTTGGCCAAAAGATGTAGCTACTAGACAGTGGCATCCCTGGGGCTGGGGACATGGTGCCATATGTTAGACTATGGCTAAGGTTGCTATCTTTGAAGCCTTAAATAGCCCATTGTGAAGATGTAACTCAGGAGGAATTGTGATCTAAATGGCAAACAACTTCACCTTTGATATTGTTACAGAGACAGTAGAATTGCTCTTTCTCTCTAAGCTTGCTTGCTACCCTGACTGGGAGTTAGACAGGCAATTAAATGTTTTGATTTTAACTCCTGATTCTTTCAGTGGTCCTCATGCTATAAAAAGAGATGGTGGTAATGTCTGCATTCTTTAACCAAAGGAGGTAATATAAAAAATAGAAAATAAAATCATCCTGAATCAAATGTAAAGTGTATAACGTGCATCTATTTTTTACTAAAATTGCTGTTTCAACCTTTCTCTGTAGCCACCCTTTACTATATGTGTTCATAAGCAGTAAAGTGCCTAAAGACAAGAATAAAGCAAAATCAGAGCAAAATGATTTATAATAGGTGTACTCTTCCCACAGACCTAAAGTTTAAAGGGATAAAGACAGATTGCAGATCAGTCATTATATGAAATCCAGAAATCAGCTACATAATTCTGTCATATCTGTTGTTTGCTCTAATTCAGTAAATGCAATATCATTAATTACCCACCACTTAACTTCTCAGACATTCATGGGAGGGAAATAAAGGACAGTTTTCCACGTCATAAGGGCACTGAACTAGAGATTTTGATAGAACGTTGGAAGTGGGATCTAATATCACAGATTTCTACCTTTTTCAGATAACGCTGTAGATCCAGATGTATCAGCCAGGACCGTCTTTATAGATGTCGAGGAGGTCAAGAATAAATCTTGTTTGTCCTTTACTGATGATGGATGTGGAATGACACCTCACAAACTCCACCGAATGCTCAGGTAAAAATCTCTTCCTTCTCTTTCTTTTATCATGAGCTCATGAATTCTGTTTAATGCTTAATCGGTTTCTTTAATATTTTACTTTCCTTTTATTCACTCAACAAATATTTATTAAGCATATCTTAGTGCCAGGGTGCTGGCGATGAAACATTGTTCCTGCCCTCACAGAACTTACAGTCTAGCTGGCAATTCAAACAATTAGACAATCAAGTGATCATAGTAAAACATGGTAAGTATGATAGGAAAGCATAGAATGAGTCAACAGGTGAACCTAATCAGATCCTAGAGTTTAACAAAAGCCTCCAAGATGAGATGGTATTTATGCTGAGATCTAAGAGCAAGTAGAATTTTAAGTAGATAAAAAGTATCAGAGAGCAGAGAATGAGAGTTCAGGCAAGAAGAACAACAAGTATAAAGACCTAGGGACCTTCACTAATCTGAGACCTTCTCCAATGCTTAATTAACCTAAACTCACTCTTAAATCAGAAGTATTGGAGTTGGGATGATTGGTGAATCAGAACTATGAAGGTGCCCAAGTATAATCAAACCTCATAAAAGATAAATAGAAGACATTTCCATATATACTATTTGAAAATTTTACAGTAGAATTGAAAGTTAGTAAATTCTTTTGTTAAAGCTGGTGATAAACTTCTCTTGCCACTCTCAATTCACTTAATTACTTTAAAAGGTTTGTAGTCGAGAGTTTGTACTTTATTATCTTCACATATCACTCAGTGCAAGATGAGTGTTTCCTCAACTCCTTCCTTCTCTCTTCCTTTTTAGCAGATGAAGTTGATTGCTGTCGATGTGGCTTCCTGAACTAAGTGTGTGAAGCACAAATAACAGTGGATGGGTGTTGAGGGAGGAGGGAAAGGGCTCAGAACCCAGAAATGGAAAACAAATTAGCTTGGTCATAGTACCCTTTGAAGGTAATCTAATCAATAACACTGTAGGGAAATTCCTTTACCCATCAAAGAAACAAAGTGAAATTTGCTTAAAGTAAGTGATTATATTTTACTGCTCAGCAGTATATGTTCTTGTGTCTCAGACTTTTCCTAATTAGAAGAATGTTTAGGAAAGCCTCTAGAAGTGAGACAAAAATGTAGTATGTTGGTGAAAGTAGAGAGTTGGTCCTATCTTTTAACTTTAGCATCAATTTTATCTCCTAAATGTAAAAAAAAATAAAGACATGTTAGGTACATGTACCAATTCCCAGTGATGAATGTAATCATTATGTACTGTAAACATGTATCAAAAAATAAAAAGATAACTTTAGCTCAGTAGGTACTAGAAACAATTATCAATTTACCTTAAAATCAATTATCTTCTTAATTATTCCTTTCCACTACGTCTTATCCCAATGATATGGGAGTCAAACAGTAGCCTCAGCAAATCTAATAACCTTCTATTTTGTCTGTGGAACTATATATGTGAAAATTGGTATGGTTATAAGGTAGAAAGAAGAGGATGGTTTTTTAATAATTACAACAATTTTTGTGCCATATTCACACACTTATCCATTCACTGAATTCTTACTAAGGGTTATGTGTATAACACTGGAACGTAAATGGAATTAATATGAAAAAATGAAAAAAAGGCTTTGTAGATAGGGAGGCAGGGAGGGGTTGAGGGGAGGGCAGGGGGATGGGGGAAAATAAGAACCAAGATGGATTACGTAAAGGTACAAATTTCCAACACTGAATGTCATTATATTGTATACCTTAAATATACCAATAAAATTAAATAAAAAAGAAACCACTGGAAAATAAAGTTGAGAACCAGATAAACATCCTTGCTCTCAAAGTGCTGACAGTTTAATGAGAAAGAAAAGTTGCCTAATAAATACAACTAAATAGGCTGTTCTCCCCATGGGGAAGTCTATGAAAGAAGAGTAAAGTTTCTTTTGAGAATATACAACAGAGGGATCTAATCTAGCCTAGGGAATCAAAACAGCATACTGTGAAACATTTAAAGTAAAATATGAAGGATCAGTATGTTCATTCAAAATTTGGTTCCCTCCCCAAGAAGCAAATTAGGCTGAAACTTCATAGTATTTTACTCATCATGCTTTATATGTTTCCTGCTGTTGCCCTAGGCAGTTGTTGCTCATACTTAAAAATTTACTTTAGAAGCTATTTTAATGAGTCCTTAATATAGTAAGTAATATAGTACTGGATTTTATTTGTGATTATATTTTAAACGAGTCAGCTATAAGATATAATTTATTTAAAAGAGAATTTAGTCATGCTATCTTCTTACCAAGAATGCCACTTACCTCAACTTCTTTTAACATAATTGAACCAGGGCTGGGGATTTAGCTCAGTGGGATCACGCCTGCCTTGTGGGTACAAGGTCCTGACCTTAATCCCTGGTACGAAAAATAAATAAATAAAATAAAATAATTGAGCGGGACATAGTAGCCCATACCTGTAATACAAGCACTCAGGAGGCTGAGGCAGGAGGATTGCCACAAGTTCAAATTACCACATATATTTCATATGGTAGATAAGACTCCTATGTATCAAGAATTCTGAGTTTTAGATGTGACACTGTATCTAAAATAGAGGTATGGAGTAGCACATGACAATTATCAGAATGATTTCTAGAGTTAGTTTAAAATTAAAGTTTGGAGCTGGGCATGGTGGTGCACATCTGTAATCCCATCACTCCGGAGGCTGAAGGAGAAGGATTGCCAAGAGTTTAAGGCCAGCTTGTATTACATAGCGAGACCCTCTCTCAAAAAAAAAAATTAAGTTTGAGGGAGGGGTATTTAGAGGCAGAGGGAGGAAGGTGGATAGAAAGGGAAAGGATTAAAAAATAATCAAGCTGAGTCATGTACATGTACCTGTTTCTTAAGATGGATATAAACTTCATGTACTACAAACATGTATGAATAAAATAAAAATTTAAATTTAAAAGGTTCGAATAGTATAGTGAATGCAGTTTTGCATACAGTATATAATTTAATCCATATAATAATAATACCCCACCTGTCCTAACTAATCGTCCACATAAGGAAAATGAGAATGTCTTACCAATGTATAAGTCTATTCCTGGAATACTAAGTCTCATAGACTGTACTAACTCAGTGCTCTTTAGGAGTTTTTAAAGGACTCCTTCCCTAGAAATTACCTTTCCCGTCATTAGATTTTTTTGTAGGAAAAAGTAAAGGACAAAATTGTATTATTTCATAATACTTTGAGTTAGAAAATTGAAAAGTGGTCCTCTTTCTCAAAAACACCATAGCCTTCTGGAAATGGAAAACAGGTACAGTGGTCCTCTTTGCTTGGAAGAGAAAAGCCAAGACTAATCTGCTCACTTTGGCATACAGAGTCTGTTTTACTGATGTTGTATAAGTGTCTAATCTGTTTTATGAAATCCTTCTTTAGACTGTAAGCTGTGAGGGCAAGAATCATGTCTCTTGGTAACAATTGTATTTGTAGTGCTTAGCACAATGCATAGTACGTGGTAAGTGCTCAATAGATACTTTTTTTTTCATTAAGATTATTGGTATATTTTAGGTAAACAGTACGGTTACATTCATCATTGGGATCTTGTACATTTGCACAATGTATCTTGGTTCTTAGTTTTCACTAATCCCCTGCCCTCCCTTAACCCCCTCCACCCTTCCCTATTTACAAAGACCTTGTTTACATTTTTTCCTTTCTCCTGGGCCGTGGATTTAGCTCAGTGGTTCCGCCCCTGCTTCACAAGCGCTAGGATCCGAGTTCAATCCCTGGTACCAAAAAACAAAAACAAACATTTTTTTCCTTCATATTTTTCCATTCACTTCTTTCCTTTCCCCTACCCCTCCCACTTCGCCTACTCCTTTAGACCTTTTCTCCACCCCCACCCCCTAGGAGCTAAGCGTTCTTTATCAACCTATTCCAAATCCTTCACTAATTTTTGGGTTCTAGGATTCTGTACACAATAGCCATTCCATAAAGGAGCTTCCTGTAAACAGCCAACAGGGAGCAAAGAGCTCCATTTTTCTTGTTTTGCAGGTCCACTCGGAACAGAGAACTCTCCTGCGGTTAGGCCCAGAGCATGCCACAAGACTTGTACAATAAATGTCTCTAGAGGGTGGTCCTGAAGTTTGCGCTTTCCTTGTCTATATTCCTCTTACCCAATCTTAGATTGTGAACTACTATGGGGAGGAAAGGGGGCTTTTCATATAGTCAGTCCTTCAGTCTTACCAGGAAAGAATCCACCAGAGCCTGAAAGTTAAACTTTCCTGTTACAAACCCTTTTCTGCCAAACTCATCTCCCCGGCAGCCAGAGAAGTACCCGTGGTAGCCAATCAGAGCCGGCAGCGCCGGGCACGTGCGCCTGCGTGTTGACTGTCAGGCGGGGCTCCGGGAGTTTCTCCACGCACACATCTGTGCCCTGTGGGTGGGGTCCCGGCACTTAGAAGCGTCTGCACAGTTCTCTGTGGCCGCTCCTTTCCTGCTGAGTTTGAAAGTCCAGCAGAGTGAAGTGGATACAGAGCAAGGGCCCATCAGGGCACTGGCCGGCAGGAGGCCTTGATAGGTGTCATTTCATAGTTGAAGAAACTGAGAGTCTCTGAGAACACAGCTCTGGAGCTAGCCAAACTTGAAATATTTCCCCTCTGTGAGCTTTGACTCGTAAAACACCTCAAAGGCTGCTGAAAGGACTTGATGATGCCTGCCACACATGGAGAAGCGCTTAGCAGAGGGGCCTCGTACGTGCACCGCAGGTACCTAATCTAACATGGACATAGTCCTTTCTTCATTTAATGATAATCACTTAAAAGTCATATTATAAGGCGCCCATTGTTCACTTCAGGATTATGCTTCCATAGGGGGTCGGTGCCATCCATTTGTTTCGTAGGTGGGGAAACCGAGGGCCAGAGAAAGGAAGAGATTCTTTGGAGCCACCGCTGCAGCTGGGGCAGAGCCCGTACTCTAGACCTTTTCTTATTTCACATTATCATGCATACGTTTTGATTCTTATTTAAACTTTTATTTTTTCACATCAGAGAAACTTTTCCGTATTTACACGTGTCCTATTTATTTCACTTAAGAGTATGGCCTCAATGTGCATCCATTTAGCTATAAATACCTCTAGTTTCTCATTCTTTATGGCTGAACAATACTCCATTTTATTTTTAAAAAACCAAGGGCTGGGGATTTAGCTCAGTGGTTCCGCCACCTGCCTCACAAAGCACAAGGACCCGAGTTCAATCCCACCAGGGGAAAAAAAAAGTTTTGTGCCGAGGATTTGACTCAGTGGTTCTGCGGCCTTCACAAGTGGAAGGGCCCGAGTTCGATCCCTAGTACCAAAGGAAAAACAAAAAAAAAACCCCACATCTTCTTTATCCAGTCTCCAGTTGATGGGCAATTGGGTTTTTTCTAAGTTTTAGCTATTACAAACTGCGACTATAAACATGGATAAGCAAGTATCGCTGTGGTATGATTATTTTAATTCTTTGGCAAAGATATCCAGCAGAGGAATAGCTGGGTCAAATGGTATCTCTAATCCTAGTTTTCTGAGGTATCTCCACATTGATTTCCACAGTGGTTGCACCAGTCTGCACTCCCACCAACAATGTAGAAGGGTTCCTTTCTCCCCACAACCCCACCAGCATTTGTTGTTGGTTGATTATTTGTTTTGTTTGTTTTTCTTTCTCTTTTCATTAAGTTTATTAGTACATTAAGGTAAACAATACAGTTAACATTCATCACTGGGATTTTGTACCTTTACATGATGTATCTTGGTTCTTTTTTAGCCCATTCCCCTGCCTGTTGTTGGTTGAGTTCTTGATAGCAGCCATCCTTTCTGGGGTGAGGTGGAATCTCAGTGTTGTTTTTATCTGCATCTCTCGAATGACCAGTGATATTGAACATTTTTTCTTATATTTGCTGCTTTTACTTCTTTGTCTGAGAAATGTCTGTTCATTTCAGATGCCCATTTTTGAATCAGGTCTTTATGTTTTGAGGGTATGATTTCTTTTAAGTTCTTTATATATTCTAGATAGTAGACCTTTGAGGAACAACTGGTAAAAGTTTTTTTTTCCCCACATTGTAGGTTGTCTATTAGCTCTGTTTGTGGTTTGTCTTGCGATGCAGAAGCTTTTTAATAAAATGAGATTCTTGATTCTTTGTGCTAGTTCTCATGCTATTGAGGATTTGTTTCCTATGCCAATGTCTTCAAGAGTTTTACCTGACTTATGTTCCGGCATTAGTGCTTCTGTTTTAATATTTAGATCTTTATTCCATTTCAACTTTAGTTTAGTCCGTAGTGACAGATATAGGTGTAGTTTTAATCTTTGGCAAGTTGGTCTGGAAAGGGTTAGGGATTTAGCTCGGTGGCACTGCGTTTGCCTCTCAAGCACAAGGTCCTGTGTTTGATCCCTAGTACCAAAAAACAAACAAACAAAAAATTCTCCTGGAAATTAAACAAAGAATCCTTAAAATAGTTGTATTTGAGGTAAAGAAAGATATAAAGGAAAGATCATAATTTTCAAGATCTTTGTACCTTTGAATTTTTTTAGGTTCTGTTATTTTGTTGTGTGCTTGGATGGAAAATAAAAGGAAGGAAAAGGTCTGGCTCCCAGATTAAGCTGATTGTAAGAGGCTACAGAGTTTGCTGAGGTGACTCAGTGAAAGGCCCTTAATAGAACAAGAGAGATTTTTATACTGCGGCTGTTTATAGACATTTGGAGACAGAACTACCTATATATTTTTATAATCTCTTGGTCATATTCCAGTGAACTCTCCCAGCAGATGCAACAAAGGGTAAGGATTGGAAGATTCATCATTTGGGTAGAGAGTTAAATTTATCAAGATACATGCTACACAATCACGCTTGGGATGGTGGCACACACCTATAAACCCAGTACTTGAGAGGCTGAGGCAGAAGGATCACCATGAGTTCGAGGACAGCCTGGGCTATATAGTGAGTTCAAGGCCAGCCTGAATTAAATAGTGAGTCCAATTTCTAGGTATAATCAGGTTAAGAGATACCCAGTCTAGTACCTTTGGTTAGTGCCACTATTGGATACTTTTGTTCTCTCTCTAGGTAACTATCTTGTGAAACTTATTCTCACTTCTAGGAATTAGGGCCATTTTATCTAGACAAGAAAGGCAGCTAGCTACACAAGGCCTTTTCCAGCTGTCTTTGTTAAGCCAGTGAAAACATGGTCCTTTACATTTTTGAAAGTTTGACTCTAAGGAAGTAGAACTGTTTACACACAAACCACATAGGAAAGTCAATGCCATTACTCCAGTAATAATTTCCCATTTTAAAAACAATATTTATGCCTGGAATACCATAAGAAATAAAAGAGTAACTTGTACAAATGTTCTTCATGTGTAAACTGAGCATTCAGCCTGAAACCTAGCTTATGATGTTTTTTAACTTTTCTGATTTCTTTCTTCACATTTCTCTTTTCTAATTACAGCTTTGGCTTTACAGATAAAGTAATAAAGAAGAGCCAGTGTCCCATCGGGGTCTTTGGTAATGGTTTCAAGTCAGGCTCCATGCGACTAGGAAAGGATGCTCTTGTCTTCACCAAGAATGGGGGTACTCTCACTGTTGGACTCCTATCACAGACTTATCTGGAATGTGTCCAGGCCCAGGCAGTTATTGTACCAATTGTTCCATTCAACCAGCAAAACAATATCCTTTCTGGAAATGGAGAATGTTGGCTAAAAATTAGTCTAATCTGACTATTTGGACAAAAACTTCTTTTTTTTTTTCAGGTCAAATCTAGTGCTTTTGATATCTTGTATTTCAAATGTTTTCATATATAAAGAAGTACTCAAATATCTTAAACTTAACTGGAATTTTCTATATTAAATATTTATAAATTAAGTGGACCATTGACCAAAGTTTAGAGATGCTTTTGCTATATTGAAATTTTCATTGTTATGCAGTTTGATTTATGTATGGTATCCCTCCAAGTAACCCCATAGTAAAGTTTCCAGGGCCTTCTCTTTTCTTCCCCCTAAGGCTAGCTACATTTGTGTTTTTGTTCCTAAAAATACTATCTGTAGCTTATCTGATACCAGAATAGTTCATTTTTCTCTACCTAGACATGCTATGATTTCTGTTAGACACCAGATTGTTTTGGTGGGAGTAGCATAGCAGTTAGGATTTGAACGTATTGTTTCCAAATGGTTTAAAAATTTTAAATTTCATCTTTTTCTTAAACATAGCCCTATATTTACACTGCATCTTTGAGGCTGTGTTTTGCAGGTGTAGCTGATTTTGATATTTATCTCTACAACTGTTGTCCGTTTTCTGTTTTCCTTTCTTCTGTAACAGTAATGCCCACATTTAATGTCTATATATTTTTTGTCTAAACATACAACCTAAAAGGTACTTTTCCTTCCTGATAGCATCTTACAATAATACTTTTTCTTTGACTGCATTTGGTTTTACAAAAAATGATTATTACTGAGGATTCCTTGCCCAGTCTAGAAGCCATCTTGAACTATTCAATTTTCAACAGTGAAAATGACCTGCTATCCCAGTTTGATGCCATCCCAGGCAAAAAAGGCACTCGTATTCTCATTTGGAATATCCGAAGGTATAGTATTCTAAGGGTGGAAGATTCTGACAAGCAAAGGTATTATGAGGAAGCATGTTTTAAGAAATCTTTATAGAGAAAGAGTAGATAAGGGAGGGCAGGGACAAGGGGAAAAAAATGAGAACCAAGACCTGTCATGTAAAGGTACAAGATCCCAATGATGAATGTAACTGTACTGCATACCTAAAATGTACCAACAAACTCAATAAAAGAAAAAAAATCTTTTTTTTGGTACCGGGGATTGAACTCGGGTCCTTGCGCTTGCAAGGCAGGCCACCGAACCGCTGAGCTAAATCCCTGGCCAGAAAAAAAAAATCTTAAGAAGAAGAGTAGATAAATTTTGTTACATATTTCTGTCTCATTATGTAACTTTCTCTTAGTTACGTTTGAAATAGGGGCTCTTATTGGTAAATGCTGTGCATTTAAGGTGAAGACATCCATACTCTGGGGCTATTGCCACAGATAAAACAATGCAGTGTTATCCTAATATCCCCATAATCCATTATAAATATATCTATTTCATATTATGGACTTTGTTTTGAGATTGGTAAATGATAGTTATTTTATATGTTTGACAATAATGATGTATGGAGAAAGATATTAGAGTAGCAAAACATAATCTTTAGCTACAATAAAAGTGCAAAAATCCTTGAAGCTGAACAATTTTATCTATAATGAGGCTGTCTTAAGATTGTTTCTTCAGGGCTGGGGATTTCACTCAGTGGTGCTGCTGCCTGCAAGCACAAGGTCCTGAGTTTGATCCCTGGTACCAAAAAAAAAAATTTTGTTTCTTTAGAGCTAATAAAACAATCAAGAAACAGTCTCTGATATATTATTTGTTTAATTTTGGCATGTCAAATGGAATAAAACCTAAACACTAAAAACCTCAAAGCCTTTCACATAAAATAGAGGAGGTGTGGTGTGTTCTTGGGTGTTTGTTTTTTGTTTTTTGCTTTTTTTTGTGTACCAGGGGTTGAACTTGGGAGCTTGAGCTTGTGAGACAGGTGGGCAGAATCACTGAGCTAAATCCCCTGCTGTGTTTAATAGAACAGAATATTAGATATATTCATTTTTCCTTTTCCAATTAGGCCAAGCATTTTGTCTTGTTTTTTAGCTGGGTAAAACTAAGCAATACTGATTTATACAAAGAATACTTAGCAATTAATAAGAAAAACTAAGGAGAGCTCACAAGGATCTTCCCTGTGTCCTGTTAGGAAAACCACCATTCTGTAATATAATTTGTATTATAAAGGATCAATTTCCTGAGGGATTTCCAAAGATTTACACATATTAAGCAGACTTTTTCCTTTGTATATTGCTTCTCAGTTTTACTGTACTAGGTGTTATAGAAGTAAAGGGTTACATGGTCAAATATGGGAAAAGCTGACAGCCTATTGTATTGCTTTGGTTAAAGTCTTTTCTGGCTTTTATATGCTAATTTGCATATAAAATACTTAAGAGAACAATGTAGTATGTAATATTTCCTAATTTCAGACCTCTTTCTCTTGAATGGGGAAGATAGGGGGCAATGAAAGTTAGAGAACTATCTCAGGATATATGTGCTAGAGTAGAGTGAGGTAGTGAGAATAAAGATTATCCTGGAAAATCCAGACTATACTATTGCAATGGCCTGGGATTTTTACATGCTACATGAAATAGGAGCCTTGGTTCAGTTCTGAGAATAGAATTAAAATTGTTTTTAATGGGGATTGAACTCGGGACCTTGCACTTGTGAGGCAGGCAGTGGCACCACTGAGCTAAATCCCTGGTCCAAGATCTCAACTTTTAATACAGCAGCTTTGAGCTTGTGGAACATGAAGTGTGACAGAGCTATCAATTTAGGTTACTCTGTGGTATTTTCTTCTGTTTTTTTTTTTTTTAATCTCCAGGGACTACTGTTCCACAGAGCAAATTTTTAGAACTGTTGTTTTGATATTTATATTTTCTGTGTAACCCATCATTTGTTTTGAGTTTTCCTAGGAACAGAGATGGGCCTTATCTTTTTTCCCTGAAAGTGGTTAATGATGTAGCTCAGGGTCTTAGAATGGACCAACACTAAGTGGCTGCAAAAGATAGGAATAAGAAAGTTTCTTATGAATATCAGTGCTATTAAATTTAAGTGCTAATTCCATAAATCATGCTCTTGAGGACTAGTTTTTCTTCTCTTTTAAGATATTTGATTAGATCTAGGGAAGTATTGGTTTCTCATTAGTCCTTATACCATTGCTGGAGTTAATAGAAGTAGATTTTGTTTTATCAATTCATTTGGGGAAAGTAATAGTGAGAAAATTATCAAGCAATACCCAGAAAGTTGGGATCTATTTTAAGAGCCTGTTTAAAGCTAGCTGACATCCATTTGATTTATCAAATTACAGGAATTTTCATGTATTTTCTTTTCTTACAAATTTGGCATCACTGCCACTGTGAAGTATAATAGATTTGTTTAGACTAGAAATGCCTTAAATAATGTGTGATCCTCAGATTAAGGGGTTTATAGTTTCATTGCAGTGGTGGTCACGGGAGAGAAAAAAACAGATACCTGATATTGGCTCATACTCTTTCTTCTCTCTTGGGTTCCTAGTGCTTTTTTTGTCCTTTGGAGCCAGTTTTTGTTAGATTGGTACTTGTTTCTTTTACCCAGAAACAAAGATGGAAAGTCTGAGTTAGACTTTGATACAGATCAATATGATATCCTGGTATCAGACATTGATGCAGAAGAAAAAGAAATTGATGGTGTTGCCTCTGAGTTGCCAGAAACAGAGTATTCCTTACGGGTGAGTAAGGGTTGCTTTTTTTTCAACAGTGAGAGGTAAGATTTCCTATAATATGAAAACATTATAGAAGAAAATTGAATTACAGTTATATATAAAGATAACAAACTTTTAGGATTCCTTTTTATATCTCCATTAAGGTAGTTTAGCTAACATAGTAGCAGCATTTTTAGTGTGGTAGTTGACATAATATAACAAGGTATAAAAACTGAGCCAAATCTTTGTCCAGAAGAGGTGCACTTAGCAGTATTTTATTGGGATGTCAGTACAACTAGCAATATGGCATAATGACTTTCTCTTCACTGTTCCATAGGCATTTTGTAGTATTCTATATATGAAGCCACGGATGAAAATTTTTCTGCGTCAAAAGAAGGTGACTACCCAGATGATTGCCAAGACCTTGTCCAATGTAGGATATGATATATATAAGCCTACCTTCACTGTATCCTTATAGCTTCATGTAGTTGACTTTTTCATTGCAGGATTATATTTCTAGATTGGCAGAAAAAACCAAAAATGTGCTTTTGCTAATTCAGAATTGCATGTTTATAAATATTATACTGTACTCGAAGAAAGTATTTCTTAAATGTCAATCCATGTACTAATTATTACCACATGGAGCCAGGCGTGGTAGTGCACGCCTATAATCCCAACACTTAGGAGGCTAAGGCATTGAGGATTGCTGCAAGTTTGCAGCCAGCCTGAGCTACATAGTGAGTTCAAGGCCTGCCTGAACTATATAGGAAGACCCTGTTTCAAAACACCAAAAAAAGAAAAAAAAAACACATTGAAACTCTTAAATAAGAGCCCTGATATTTTGGAGATTCTGGTTCATTAGATTTTTTTTTTAAATACTGAAGATTGAACCTAAGGCCATTTTTCTTTAAATGTTGAGATAAGGTCAACAGTGATCTAAATCATTCAGTGATTATTCAGTGATCTAAATCACTGAATTGCCCAGGCTGTGTTCAAATTTATGATCTTCCTTTCTTACCTCCCAGAGTGCTGGGTTACAGGCATGCACCACCATGCTCACTTATGCAATTTTTTTTTTTGTAGTGGGGATCGAACTTAGGTCCTTGCATTTGTGAGGCAGGCACCAAGGAGCTAAATCCCTGGCCCTGAAATATTTTTATTTAGTTATTTTAAAATCCTCTGCTTTTTCAAGTGAGTAGCCAGGTTTGAGAATCTCAGCCTTAAGAAATAAATCTAGGGCTGGGGATTTAGCTCAGTGGTTCCACCGCCTGCCTTGCAAGTACAAGGTCTTGAGTTCGATCCCTGGTACCAAAAAAAAAAAAAAATCTACATCGTATTTGGTTTGTACTGGAATTTTGTCATATATCACATTGATTCAAATGTAATGTTGACTAGAATTTGTTAATCTTTTGGGTATAGAGTTATTTTTGTTGTACTAGGGTCAAACACAGACATTGATGGAAGTTAGGAGAGTGGATATTAAAAGTTAGTTTGCCTAGGGAGAGATGAATTGTTAACAAGATTGATGTGGATTTTCAACTGTCAACTACTTTTTGCACTAGGAATGGATTTCAGATATGTACTATATAAAATCTTAAGGTAAAGTATGGAAATTAGGTCAATCTTCATTGATGATTTTTTCAGCAAAATAAAAGTATTTGAAAGGCTGAGAAATCATAAGCAGTTATGAATAATTGCTCTTTTATTTTCCAGTAAGCAAGTATACGACTTGTCCTAAGAAACATGTTCACACTCCTCTATCAAAGGAATTATCTTTGTCTCCCTTTGCCTGACTGAAAATTAGAAATTGTTGTTCCTATTCTTAACGAAGAAGTGATTTTCATCAGAAGCAGATTGACTTTTCACCTTTTTAGAAACACGTACCTTCTCCACTAAGGGACTATTTTAAAGCCCTCAACAAACCCAACTTAGCAAAGCCAGAGCTAGCACTGTGAGCAAATTGGTTATAATAGCACCTTATGTGGTCTGGGATATTAGTGTTAGAGATGCAACAGAGCCAGTCTATAGAAGTGTTTTCTAGGGCCAGGAATTTAACTCTGTGGTTCTGCCACCTGCCTCGCAAGCACAAGGTCCTGAGTTTGATCCCCAGTACCCCGCCAAAGTGTTTTCTAGCTTCTCTTTTAAAATGTGTCACATTTCTGTTTCCAGCTGCTTCCTTTTGTGGGTTTCTATCAGGCCAATTTCATTTTTTGTTTGTTTTTTTGGTTTTTGTTTTTGGTACTGGGGATTGAACTCAGAACCTTGAGCTTGCAAGGCAGATAGCAGAACCACTGAGCTATATCCCCAGCCCGATCTATGCATATATTTTATACATGCCTCAATTCTTCTACCCCACCCCCATCAAACTGGTTGCCTTCCCATATTAGAGTTTGGGTTAAACAAATTCAATATAGACATAAGTAAAATGAATTCCTAATAAAATTTCAGTAAGGTCACTGATACTGATATATTTATTCTTCCTTATCAAAGGGCTCTTTCTTTGTTTTTGTTTTTTTGTTACAAGGTCTCAGTTTGTAGTTCAGGCTGTCACCATGTAGCCCAGGCTGGCCTCAAACTTGCATAATCCCACTGCCTCCGCCTCCTTAGTGCTGGGATTACAGGCTTGCGCCACCATACTGAGCTCTGTACTTTGTTCTTTTCCTTCATACTAATTTGGGGAGCATCCTACCCCAGTATACTCCCATTCCTTGTTCTTTAGTGATCTCCCAGAGTGCTGAGATTAGACACACAACACCTGGCTATGATTTTGGTCTTATTGTTTTTGTTTTCATAGTATTTTGTATGGTAGTAGGATTTACCATAATGCATAAAAGTGAGCAGATTTGTATTGTACCATATACAACACTTATCAGAACCTGTGAGGCCTAGCAGCAAATTTAGCAACTGGCAAGGTTTAAGGAGTATTTGTGATTATTTATGAATTGTTCAATCACAACTGGCATTTTGATATATTTTCTTATAGTCTTTTCTATT